GGCGGCTCCAAAATGGCCGCCGTAATACCTGATCTTCGCAATGCGGGTTTTCCCCATTGCGAAGATCGGGTATGTTTCCGTATAGCGATCCCGAAAAAGGGATCGCTATACGGAAACATCGCTATACGGTGCACTCGCTAAGCGAGGCACCACTGTATATGGATTTTCTTTTAGTATCTTTGATATTTTCGGACCGTGGATAAGTGAATCAGTTGATAGTACTACCTTGACTGTGATGACTACTAGTTCTGCCTATAGCAAAATGCCACAACTCTATACAGCTGGATCTGGCATATTTCAGTCATTTGTTTTTTCATGGAGTGGGGACAGATTTCACGTGGTTTTGTGGGGAAAGCAAATACTAACCTCCCCTCCCCCAATCAAATGTTTCTGTCATTGAATGACAATGATAATGTCTCCGAAGAGAAGCACTCAGAGGAAAAACCAGGCAGCTTCTGTTCTGGTCCAGCCACAGCTTAAACCAGGAGAAGAAATTGTTATTTTTTTTAATAGTTTAGTCTCCAGAGAACGGCCAGTGGTGTGGGCTGGTGGGAGTAGCAGTTCCTTAATATCTGGGGAATTACAATTTCCTTACACATCAGGTTTAAACCAACCTCCAGATGTTTGGGAGAACAGCTCCAATCATATCTAACATTTGGCCCTTATGGTCTGAGGGGCTAATAGTTACAGAAGCCAAAAACATCTCGAGCATGCCCAGTTGGGGGCAGCTGGTTTAAACAATAAAATAGAAGAAACAGAAAGGCAGTGAGAGGAACTTGTGCTTGCTATTATTAGCAGAGGAGAAGCATGCTGCATTAATAAGCAATTCTTTTCTTTCTGCTTGAAACCAATCAAATTTCCCTGTTTCTAAAACTGTACCCTCTAAACATTTCGTGATTGCTATTCTGGTGTGTATTTTTTTTTCCTTTGCTTTGTTGCCAGTGTTAGATTATATAACATACAGTAGTTATTGAAATCCTGTGTCGTAGGAAGGATGCAGATTTTTTTAAAAATGTATAAGAGAGGATGTTACCAGTGAACAGCAGCACATCTGATTTAACGATAGTTACTGAAACAATCCATTTTATAATACTAGAATGATACAATTTACAGGAACATCTATTAGAATGTTGCACAAAATACAAGATGGTTATAGGCTAGAGAGTAACTGAGATACTGTATCAATTTATGATTAGAAGAGACTGAAATTGTCTTCTGTGCCTCTAATTAAGAATTCTCTGCAGGAAATATTGAGAAGCAATTTTCCTTTCTGTGATCTTACATTTAAAATTGAGTAGATGACTAGCCATATTCTGTTGTTTTCGCAGTAAGCATTCTGTTTACAGAAAACGCAGACAGAGAACATATTGCATTATGTCCCGCTGTGATGCAATCCTCTGGATCTGGCACTTGCAATTTGCTTCCTGCTGGGATAGGCAACTTCTAGGTACAGTGGTGCCTCGCTTGATGACGTTAATTCGTTCCAGCGAAATCACTGTAGAGCGAAAACGTCGTCAAGCGAAATAAAAAAACTATTGAAACACATTGAAAACAATTCAATGCGTTCCAATGGGTGAAATACCTGCTCGTCCAGCGAAGATCCTCCATACGGCGGCCATTTTCTGGTGCCTGTAATGCGAGGAAGCCATCTCTAACACAGTGGGGAGCCATTTTCTACAGCTGGTGGCCATTTTGAAACCCGAAAACCAGCTGTTTGCTTATCGTCGTAAAGTGAAAAATCGGTTCCCGAAACAGGGAACTGATCAATGTTAAGCGAAATTCCCCCATCTAATCATTGTTTTGCGATCGCAAAAGTGATCGCAAAAACTTCAACGTTAAGCGGATTCGTCATCAAGCGGGGTAATCGTCCAGTGGGGCACCACTGTAGATGGCTCTACCGTAGGGGGAACCGGGTCAATCCCACCTCTGGTTGGAACAAGAGCTTGGGAGTTCATTACTCCACTGTGGCTCTCTGGAGATGACCTGTGGGGCCTTGGGCAAGCTGCCCGGCTTGAGAGCGACACCAGAAGAAGGGGCTGGTATACCACTTCTCAGTATTAGGAAGGATTGTCAGAAGTCAGAACTGACTTGAACCACTTCTCAGTATTAGGAAGATTGTCAGAAGTCAGAACTGACTTGATAGCACATACCCATGATTATTAAGGCAGCTTTTAGGGCCTCAGGACCTGAACACACCCACCTCCAGACCACGAAAGGCAGCCCCCATGCCTTCTTCTCCAAAAATATTTGTCTTTAAAAATGTTTTTATACAAAAATAATTTTTAAAAGCCTCCTTGGGACCAGTATTAGGAAGATTGTCAGAAGTCAGAACTGACTTGATAGCACATACCCATGATTATTAAGGCAGCTTTTAGGGCCTCAGGACCTGAACACACCCACCTCCAGACCACGAAAGGCAGCCCCCATGCCTTCTTCTCCAAAAATATTTGTCTTTAAAAATGTTTTTATACAAAAATAATTTTTAAAAGCCTCCTTGGGACCTCTAATAGCAAAATATTTCAGGTGGAATGGAGGACCCAGTGGTGCTAAGGGCAAAAATCCCTCCCAATCCCTAGAAAGTGCAAGGGAATCTTTTGAACAAAACAAAACATTAAAACTGAGGGGTTAAGGGGAAGAGGTGCTGGAAGGCTTGTATTTGTACCCATGAGGCTGAATAGGAACCACAAGTTATAGATGGAACAACAACCTGATCAATTTTGGTCATATGGGAGGCGCTGTATGTTTAATTCTGTCAGTCAACCTAGCAGGACAGGAAAGTCCTAGAGCAGTGATTCCCATAGCACTCGTGGTGACAGGAAAGTCCTAGAGCAGTGATTCCCAACCTTGGGTAACCCAGGTGTCCTTGGACTGCAATCCCCAGAAACCCCAGCCAGCACAGCTGGTGGTGAAGGGTTCTGAGAGTTGCTGTGCAAAAACACCTGGGTTACCCAAGGTTGAAATCTTCATCCCTAAAGTCTCTGGTGGTTTGGTGGGGACTTGAGATGGGTTTCTCACTTTAGGCTCGTTGCAGAAATAAAGACCCCACCCTATTATTTTCTGTCCTAAAGCAAGGTCACATTCTTCCTGCCTAACTTATCTCAGAGAGTTTCCATGAGACGGAGGATTACAGATAGTGCCCTGACCTCTTTGCAGGTAATTCAGCTCAACTCCCATAAACCTGAACAGAAAGATGATTAAATTTTCCTCTCTAACCTACATTAACCACATTATCTTCCATTGTGCCAACAAACACTCATAGTCCTAGTAAGTCAAACTAGGAAAAGAGTCTCATTTCACTTGTCTTGTTAACTGAAGAAGGAACCAAGGCAGTAACTTCCAGGCTAAGTCTAGTAAAGTTGGCACTGAATTACAGCATGGGAGAAGCAGTTGTACAAACAGCTGTGGAAGAAGCTGTGCAACTGATTGCACAGTCGCTCAAGCAGCCAATTGCATTATCAGCTGCACAAGTGTCTGTGCAACAAAAATCATACTTTGCAGCCTTACACTAACACTGTAAACATGCAACTGCAAACACAAGTTTTGATCCAGTTCAATGACATCACTGGATGCAACTGCCAACACAACACGTTTTGATCCAGTTCAATGACATCACTGGATAAAGGCGGAGCTGTACTAATTTATTGTTATAAGAACAGTCACATAAGTTGAATTCGCTGTATGCAATTTCATTTATTAGATTGAAAATAATTAGCTGAAATACCAGGCCTTACGTTTTTCAGGGCCTCTCTTCCCACTATAACTGCCAAACACTCAAGCAACACAACACGTTTTGATCCAGTTCAATGACATCACTGGATAAAGGCGGAGCTGTACTAATTTATTGTTATAAGAACAGTCACATAAGTTGAATTCGCTGTATGCAATTTCATTTATTAGATTGAAAATAATTAGCTGAAATACCAGGCCTTACGTTTTTCAGGGCCTCTCTTCCCACTATAACTGCCAAACACTCAAGATAGCCTAACAGAGACTACTTGCCCCTTAGCTGCCATTGAGCACAACGACAAATTTGTAATGAGGCTAGTTAAAGAGCAGTATAATTCCCCCCCCCACTCCTCGAAAAATGTGCATAACATTTCAATGTGCCAGTGACTGCAAATTCAAAACCAGGGGGTGGTAGCTGACAGAACAATGAACTGTGTGGGAGACAGACAACGAAAAGTGAATCATTCTGGAAATCTTCCTGCTTCTGTCCTTGAGTTAGTTCTAATTGGCTAGAGGAATTGTCCACTTTATATAACCTTCACAGAAAGCCAGCCTGAAAGACATTCTGATGCCTGTGGAAAAGGAGAAACTGGCACACACACCCAAATCGACATTTTATATACATAAACAGGCTGGAACGGCAGCTGAATTTTATTCCAAAGCTGTCAATGAGACAGTATCCTCTGCTCCCCCTCCCCCCGGCCAGATTAATCTTTCTGATTTTGTGAACTGGTCTACAAAATCAAAATACTGGAAATTTAACAGAATGATGACAGCTGCTCTAAATTCACATGGACAACTACAGAGAAACAGAACATTTCCCAGAGAACTGAGCAGAAACAGTAATTAAAAGCCAAGCAGAGAGTGTTCACTGAAAAAACAGTACTCAAAATTCATAGGCTCTCAACTCAATGGGAATCCAAACCAACTAAGAGTCAAAGTCTAGGGTAGTCTAAAGGAGATTTCGTTTTGGTTTTCCATGAAACAGGTGCCACATCTTATGGGTGTTCCATTTGGAACCGGGGGGGAGGTGTAACAAAAGTAATGTATGTGGTTTGCAATTGTGACTTCTTTTCCTTGTATTCAACATTTTTCTTAGCATGCCATAAACAGTTCTCGAGACACTGGTCATGCGTTTTAAATAGAGTTACAGTGTTATACAAAAGGAGTTCAATGGTTCTAGCACTGCTGTAAAATATTTGTACAGTGGTGCCTCACTTAACGGTGATAATCCATTCCAGGAAAATCCCCGTTAAGCAAAAACATTGTAAAGCGGGAAAAAAACCAAATTGAAACGCATTGAAACCCCTTCAGTGCGTTCCAATGGGGTCAAAACTCACCGTCCAGCGAAGATCCTCCATAGGGCAGCCGTTTTTGCTGCCTGTCTTGTGAGGAATCCGTCCCAGAAAACAGCGGGTAGCCATTTTGATTACCCGGTGGCCATTTTGAAACCGCCGATCAGCTGTTTTTAAATCATCGTTTTGCGAAGAATTGGTTCCCGAAGCAGGAAACTGATCATCGCAAAGCGAAAAAAACCCATTTAGACCATCGTATTGCGATCACAATTGCGATAGCAAAAAGATCATCATAATGCGGTTTCGTCATAATGCGGGGCAATCGTAAAGCGAGGCACGACTGTATTCCTAGGCTGAAATGACAATCTTCCAAACAAACAATGAGTTAATAAGGCCTAAAACAGTAGTCTCAGCATATCAGCTGAATTGATCTATACATACTTTTGTTTTAATATAACTGTTTATTTAACTGAAAAACAACAACGACCAAGAAGTAATTGATTAACAAGCCTTTTATCACCAGCCAAACTATGGAGGTTATTATAATAATGAGATAGTTGGGTTCGTTTTTCCCTAATGAGATATTTTCTTCTACTCCTATAGTCAATTGTTAATTGAACTTTTTTTTTCTAAATTAAGACTTGGCACAGTTCAGACTACTTTACCGAAGTTTTGCACAGTCTGTCCCCTCAAATTCATAGGCTCACTGTTCATTGTGAACATTTAATAACTTGGAAAGGTTTTTGCTGCACCTGTATAATTAAAAAATCGAGTCTGACTTTTAGAAATCTATTCAAGGCAATTAGAAGGTGGCGTCATGCCATCTTAAAATTATCGTTCTTATTATATAAAAGAGAACTGTACTATCTCTAAAATATTAAAGATCAGGTAGAAATTGTTGCTCAGATATTTTGATGGAGGAAAGCAGGGGAGGGAATTGAAGAATATGTACATCTTTTTTAAAAAAAGACCTCAACTATATTGATGGCACAGAGTCCAGAGCTACTGAACGAGACCTGCAGGGCCAAAGAATTTCCTGGCTTCCTTTATAATTTAGATTCATAGACATTGTGTGTGCTTTAATCAGAGTAAGTCACTTTGCAGTAGTCGGGCATGACCCTGTACAGAATTCCCCATTTTTTCAGCTGAGTAAGTATCGTTCACCAGGCTTTGGAAAGACCGGACATGACCTGCATATATACATGGGTAAGTCCCAAGCCCTCAGGTCCACTGACAATGTCTCTACCTGGAATGCCAATCAGGGAGAGAAAGACCAACATGATCAGTGCCACCTGCAAAGATGAAGCATATGCACACAGTATACTACCACAGGGAATCCTGTCTTACGGAAATGGCTGCCATACTGTTTTGGATAGGGCTGGGGTCAACGTACCTGTAATTTTCAGCCCCGCTGGATGGGGCTCGGCCTCTCTCATGTGACTCTGCCCCTGCGCGTATGTACAACTCCACCCCCTCCTGCACACTGGGTTCCATCACAGGTGGAACCTAATGCGATTGCTGTGTGGATGAGGAAGACAGCTGCATGGAGGGGATCACATTCATGTCTATGCACACCCAGCTTAGTGTGGAAACCTTGGCTTGCATTAACAGTTGAATGCTGACACTAAATTTATAATAATTTCATATGCTCTCAAGTCAAATGAGCTTGTCCAAGACCACACAAGCTGGCTCTATTCACAGGAAGGAGAGTGGGGAATCAAACTCCCAACTCTGGCTCCACAGCCAAGATACCTAAGCCACTGAGCTATCCAGCTCAGGAAAAGTTATAGGCTTGGATTCAAGCTATGGCCACAGCTCTAAAGCAGAGTGAGAATTAGACTGTAGTCTGATTAACAAAACATAGGGACAGAGTTTTGTTTTCTTCCTGGAGAGGCATTGGTTCAATCATCTGTTGAGAAATTAAGCTCCCTGAGTAACACTGGAACAATATCTATCAGTAAATCCTATCTTCCAGAACACTGAAATCATAAAATGATACATTTTAATAAAGCTGCAATCTCCATGAAAGATATATACTGTATATATTTAAAAAAATACATGAAATAAAAATTATTAATGTTATTTACCTGAGACGTTGATTTTCCCTTTTCATTTCCACTCCATCCATCTTCTGCTCCTCTAATGATTTCAGAGATCCTGATATCTCAAAAGTAAAAACATGTCAATTCCTGAATCTACCAAAGCTTGGCACATTATTCTAAAAAAATAACACATTAGCATTAGTAGAGTGTTTGAAAAGCAATACATTACTAATTACATGTTTCTTTACAAGTAATACTTTATTATCGTGTTATTAATGTTCTGGTTTGAGCAATATCTTTATTGTACCTCCAAAAGGTTAGAGACAAGGAAGTGCCTCAGTGAGTAGAAGCGAATCGCTTAGCGATCTTCGCAAAGCGAAAAAACCCCATAGGGGCCATCGCTGAGCGAATGCTCCAGCGATGGCCCAGAGTGCCTCGTTAAGCGAGTTCATCGCTCAGCGAGGCACTCGTTAAGCGAGGCACCACTGTACATGTTTCTTTACAAGTAATACTTTATTATCGTGTTATTAATGTTCTGGTTTGAGTAATATCTTTATTGTACCTCCAAAAGATTAGAGACAAGGAAGTGCCTCAGTGAGTAGGGTGACAGCAGATTGCCTACAGGATTTGGCCAGTCGTAATGCCCATTGTTTTTGAATACAGATTGCTAGTGAAGCAAAATGGAGTCTGAGGGTTCAACTTGAGACCAGCTTCTACTACTAGAAGAAGCAGCCCATCCATGAGACTGCACTTCAGTAAGGATACTATCTCCTCCAACTACCAGATGACTACCAACTTAGCTTTAATTGATTTTTTTTTTAATCTAGCAAGCTACCTAAATTTGATTTACTATTTTGCTTACGTAATAACTATGGTCTTACTCCATATGTGTCTGTTCTAGGTCAATGAACAGATCAGTAGGAAGCCCCAGTCAGTCTTTATGTCTGCATAAGTAAGGCAGACTATAATCTGACACTAAGACATGTTTCCCTCAAGCAGAATCCGCAGACTTACCTTGCCAGCAGTCTACATTCAGGGAAAAGAGGCATCACATCTGATCCACTTTTTTGGACTATCTACTGACTCCCTTAACCCCAAATTTTATGTCTCCTTTGTCTGAGGGAGAGTTCTAGCCAACTTCAAAGCTCACCTCGTTTGCATTTTTTAGCAATCTAACAGACACATTACTCAACCAAGAACTTTAACAAGGATCTACACACAAATATGTGTTATGTTTCTGTGACGTCTGGCTCAACCTAACATATTATTATAGTGAGTACCTGGCTGGTAGTTTGAGAAGCACTCTGTACAAAGCCTAATGACCAGAGAAACTACTAGTCTCCTAATCACTTGCACTGCCCATGGAGTTTAGCCATTCCCTCCTATTTCCCTCTTCTTCAAGATAACAGCTATCACACATGTGTGTTCTGAAACTCCTCAAGAAACTTGGGAGTTTTGACTACAGCTATCAGAATTCTGGCTTGGAAAATTATTGGCAAAATCTGGGACCTACAGAGAAAGAAACAAACCAAAAGTCCCATGGCTAATGATAAATGTTTTTAAAAATCTGAAAAGATTTGAGAAATCAAGGGGATACTGTGCCTAAGCTGCTTTTAATTTATAACACATATCTCAATCACATAATTAGACTAGTTCCAGATAGTCTAATAAGGACAACTATAAACTGTTTGTAGAGTTGGGGGTGGAGTGAGCACAGGAAGGATTTATTTAGATCTCAACAGCCACAACAACTAATCTTGATTAATACATTCACCCCCATGTAAAGCCCTCCCCAAAACATCTCAGTATTGAAGTGCCAAGAGTAAAAGGGGTTCTAAAAATGACTTTTGGTCATGAAATGCCACGTAGAACAGGAAATCAGGGCATTTAAATAAAAAGGTTTTTGAAAACAGACTCGTCTCTCCTATTTCCTGCCCTATCCTCCATTTCTACTTTCCTTCCTCCACTGTGCATGACTGCATTCCCAAACTGTGTGCCCTCCAGGTGTGGCAGGCTGGGTTGGGATGATGGGAACTGCAACCCAAATACCTGGAGGGGGGGCAGTAGACTGGGAAAAGATGGTGTTGTATGTGCTGTGAAACAGAACTGCCCCAAATCTTCTAGCAAGAAGAATTGTTCATCAGCAATGGCACCTCATTCCAGAATGACATATAATTACACAAAGTGAACCATTTAGGTACCACTTAAATACATGGAAACACTGCTAATTACAGCCTTCCCCTTTCCCTGTACTGGTACACAGTGATCAGAATGACAATTGTTTGTTTGTAGCAGAGAAAAATATCAAGTCAAGTCCCTACTTTACATTATTTAAGGAACAGTGTCCTTAAAAACAACACAAGGAGCCTGAGAAAGTATCTTCCTCAAAATATATATTTTACACTCTAGACGCTGTATATATTTATTTATTATTCATAGCATCCTGGCTAATTTATACAAGAGGATATTTGCTAAGGTACTTCCCACTGAGCTGTAGCTCTGTAATGTTGGCATACGTTTTGTCCACAGAAAACCCCCAATTATAAGAAAAAACTGAGAATTGAGTGTTAGACATTTCTTCTACCCAAAAAGAATATCTCAAGGAACTGTATAGCACTTTTCTAATACTTGAAAGACAGTCATACAGAGAAGGGGCAGGATCTGTTCTCATTCATCCCAGGATGCAGGACACATAATAATGGGCTTGTTATAGGAAGCCAAATTTAGGCTGAATATCAGGAAAACGTTCTTAACTGTTAGAGCAGTATAACAATGGAACCAATTAACTCTGGAGGTGGTGAGTGCTCCAATGCTGGAGGCATTCAAGAGAAAACTGGGACAACCCTCTGTCAGATCTGCTTTGGTTTAGATTCCTGCGCTAGAATTGAACTTGATGACCTTAAAGCCTCCTTCCAACTCAACTATTCTATGATTCCATGGTTCTAAGGAGCTAAGATATGGCTTGCAATTGAACTTGATGGCCTTAAAGGCTCCTTCCAACTCAATTATTCTATGGTTCTAAGGAGCTAAGATATGGCTTGCCTTTATTCTGTGTGTTCTTAAAGACAATACATTCAAAATATATTGAATGTGAATTTTTGTGAATTTAGAAAAAAAAAAACAGTAATTCAGTGGATAGAGACAGAGGCAAGGCAGAAAATAAACAGACTAGAGATGGGATATTTGTCTTCACCCCCCTCCCAGGGGAGATAAATATGATTATTGCCACCACAGGTGGTTAGTACCTTTAGACCTACTCCCCAGAACCCAGCCGGTCCACTTACCACTTGTGGTGTGGCACACACAACTGTTGTTCATGCTGCACCAATCTTGGAAGTAGCCTGACCAGCACTTCCCTGCCTCCCTGCACTGCTGACCACTCCAGCAAGGAGTCAGGATAATGAGTATCTCTGCTTAGCTGCTGACTGGTCAGCAGTGTAGGGAGGCGGGGAAAAGCTGGTCAGACTACATCTGTGATTGGTGGAGTGCAAACGACAATGGCAGTGCACACTGTATGCTGAAAGTGGTCTGGGCAGTTCTGGGGGGTGGGTCCAAAGAGCCCGGCCATCTGTGGTGGCAATATTCCTATTCATAACCCCTGGGAGACGAATATCCCATCTCTAAAACAGACTCATCCCTTTTATGCCTGCTGGCTACTTAAGAGTCAACAGTTTAGCCAAGTCTGACAAAACCACAAGACGTGGTAAAATGTATGAAAATCTGTTGCATTACAGTGTTTTCAGAAAAAGTAAAATGTCTTGGTTTATTTTGAATAACATTAACTTATGGATTTTTTTTTAAAGTGTAGATCAAGAACCAGTTGAGAAGTGCTATCCAACATGGAAATGTGGAGGACACAGAGAAATCAATAGGCTGACAAAAGCAGAAGACTTGTAACACTACTGATTCAACCATTACATCAACAAGGGCAAAAAAATGGCATGAATGATTAATGTCCCTTTTTAGCATTCCAGTTGACTCAGACTTTCCTTGCACAGAGGTAAATCAGCTTAAAATAAAGAAGTAAAGTCCAGTGGGAAAATAGTAATGATCAGCTTAGGATAAAATGTTTTCTCATCAGGCTACAGAGATTCTTGGACTTACTTGTGAAATCACTGCTAAGTATGCACGGCGTTCATCATTAACTTTATGGTAAGCCTAAAGTCCAAAACAGATAAGTGGTTAAAGCAGAAGAGCGGACAGAAGATGAAAACGAGCATAACTCTGGATGGTTGACATATGCAGTTGTTACACTGTTCTCACCAATATTGACATATCAGACAACAAAGGCAGGAGATACAGCAAATGTACTTCATGTGGTGGTTTCAAACCTTTGCTTCTTGTTCCAATCTAAGCTCATAATCTTTTAGCTGGTTCTGGAGACTTTTCTTCTCCTCTTCCAGATGTTTAAGAAACTGATTTAATGAATCCTGATACAGAAACAAAATAAGCAGGAATGTAAATTATTGCCTTGCTATTCAACTAAACCAGAAAAGGAGTAGTCTTTAAGTTGCCACATGTTTTTGTCTAGAAATAGTCTTTAAGTTACCACATGTTTTTGTCTTGTTTTGTTTCTTTGGATTTCGCCTGATGTATTACCACACTCCAGAATCAGTGGCTGTCTCGTTCAGGGGCTGCACAACTGCAGTCACTGCTCCTCTTGCTGTTCACAAGTCTTTTGCTAATTTGCCCAAAGCAAGGGAAAGGCGGCAAAACTGGCCATAGGTTCCTCTTTGCTGTCCACATTCCCCCATTATGCAAAATAGAAGAATTTCCCGTTAGTTCAGTCTAGATCACTAACTAGTGATCTAAATGACTGGTTCTTAACCTTGGGTTACTCAGGAGTTTTGGACTGCAACTCCCAGAAGCCTTCACCACAAGCTGTGCTGACTGGGGTTTCTGGGAGTTGCAGTTCAAAAGCATCCGAGTAACAAAGGTTAAGAACCACTGATCTAAATGAAAGGACAAGTCTACTGTGCTTTGCTTCCTCAACAAGAGCATTTTCTGCATGACATGTAAAATCCTGCCTCATTTCTTTATTATTTAAAATCTTCTTTACTTGATCAAGTTTGAATAGCATGGGGAACGTCCTGTTACTTGAACAAGCTGCAGTGAACCTTAGATTCACAGGCTTCACCCCCAAGCAACTAACTAACCATGGTTCAAATGAATCAGATGAGCTCACACACCACAATCCCCATCACACACACACACACACAGAGAGAGAGAGAGAGAGAGAAGAAGTGGGTTGTTTTTTTCAATCTATTGGTTCATTCAGGAGCTGGTGCAGCATCTGGTAGGTCCTGGAAACTGAAAAATTCAGTCCTGAACTTTACATGGTCTCCTACCCCAAATACAGCAGGAAAACACAGAATCCCATTATAGCTAAACAAATTAAAGAAGCCAGAGAGAGAGAGAGAGACAAGAAGTGGGTTGTTTTTTTCCATCTATTGGTGCAGCTTCTGGTAGGTCCTGGAAACCGAAAAATTCAGTCCTGAACTTTACATGGTCTCCTACCCCAAATACAGCAGGAAAACACAGAATCCCATTATAGCTAAACAAATTAAAGAAGCCATAAAGTAAACATTGTGCTCATTTGTTCAGGGCCACTAGTGAAATTATATTTGTCCAATAACTTTTCTTGGCAGCAGAGAACATGGTTGAAATGTTATCTATTTATCTCTCCCTTCTCTGAATATCAAGGCCAGTAGGAGTCCCAGAAAAGCAATGGAATTGATGTCTCCTGTTTTACAAAACATTTCTTGGACAACAATTAGAAGCTAGAGGCACCCTAAGGATAGAAATCAATTTAACGTAATACTTCCACATCTGCAAATCAGACTGTTCCATTTCAAAACAATGCACCAAACCATGTGTTCCTCTTTTTAAAAAATCCTGTCTTCCTAAAAAAAATGTGTTTCCATATGTTGTTGGACTACTACTCACATCATCACTGACTATTCATCACACTATTTCAGATGAGACAAGCTGGAGCATAATGTTATCTGGGCATCCCCAGCTGATAAGGCTGCTTTAAAAAAACTAAGCTGTGGGATGATTACTAGTTTTGGCTGCAACAGCTAACGATGATATAGAAATGGAGCCAGCCACGTAATATACAAGCAAAATGAGATGTTTAACTGAATTGCATTCCTAATACACTAACCTCTAACCTGAATATTTTAAAGATGGTAATATTCATGTCTGGAAGATTTTTTTTTCATTGTAAGGCAATATAAGCACAATTTAAAAGAAGGTAGGCAAGTCTTTGGATCCAAGTCCCAAGTCTGAGTCTTTAGTACCAAGTCCCGAGCCTCAAATCTGAGTCCCTATTAAAAACTAGCTTTTTCCCCCCAGAAAAAAGAGAGGGGGTGGGTCAGTTGTGAATCACAAGTCAAGTCCCCAGTGTGACGTTAAGTGAGTCCTGTGACTCAAGTCCCCATCCCGTGGGTCGGTTGTGGATCACAAGTTGAGTCTCCAGTGTGACTTTAAGTCCAACTTGATAGTGAGTTCTGTGACTCAAGTCCCCATCCCTGCCATTTAGGCATTTATGCCTGAAATTACGGAGAACTCTAAATAACTGTTATGGGTAGAGGGGTACATGTAAGACCTGACCCCATATTTGCTCCCTTGAGATCACAGACACCTTTGTGTGATTAGTGCAAAGTCCTACAGAAGAGGGCAATTAGCCTGTTGGCCTGGACACACTTAGAGCACTTCCATGATTGCGTACCCTCAATAGGCAGTACTCATCGGAACACCATAGGAACATTTGGGCAAAAATGCTGACAGATGTCTCAGTGAACCTTCAGCTGGATTGCAGAAATTCTTTAAAGATTCAAGTAAGGGGCTATATTACACGAAGATTATAGGCAAGTAGTACATAGCAGGAAGAACTGCTTGGATTTGTTTATTTTTAAAAAATCAGGCCAGTTCCACAAGAGACCTGACTATTTTTGAACTCTAAATTCAGAGATAAAAGTTTACAAGGGAGTGGGCAAAGGCAACAAATTATCAAAAAGATACTGTACTGGCATATTAGAAAAAACTCCATGCTAATTTAAAAATCTGAAACAGACACTAGAGTTCAAATAAACGCTCTCCCATGACTGGATAGCAAGTTAACTCTTTTAGGGAAAGGAGTAATATACAACATTAAAAATGTATTTATCACTTGTAAAAATCTCCCTTTCACGCCATCTTCAAACATATAAAATCAGTTTCTAGGCCCAGACTCCAAGTACAACTTGGGAAATTCCTTTAAAAATAATGATTATTATGAGATGTTGAAGCCATTCATAACTGAACAGTGATATGTTAATATTCTGGGATGCAGAACATCACTGGTCAATGATGACGTCTTCAGCATCTTATTACAGTATATTCTTTATTCTAAGAACTACCGTATTTTTTGCACCATAAATTTTCAACTCCTACTTTTCAGATTACCAAATCTGAAAAATATGTTCTGTATTATACCTGCTCTCTGACCAGTGCTTTGATCACACCTAGTCCGACTTTGTTGCAGTTGTTAGCAAACCTATTCTGTTGCATTCAAACTATTTCCAAGGTTATTCAGCGAAGAAGTTCTTCCCCCTTTTCTTTTCCCATTTATTTTATCTTAAATGATCATCTGTAACAATGTGTGCTTTTAATTTCTCATTTTGTGCCAAAGTATCCTAGCTTTCTGCATTTGATACATTTCATGATATCTTAAATCTTAATTTGTTAGTTTTAGCACTTGTTTGTTAGTCACTCTCTTGATCCAAGAAATTCTTAACAGCTGTAATAAACTCAAAGTGTGCTGGTTCATTTTTAATGCTTCTTTTTTTAAATAATACTTGCTTGTTTTAAAGACCATAGTTCCATCCTATACACAGTAAACACAGCACAGCAGAACGCTTATCACCTAGTACACAGAGCACCCATGGGGGTAAGCTTTGGTGAGTAGTGCTGCCATGCACCCCACCCACATCAAGTATCACTTGCGGTTAATTAACCTGGCTGCTAGAAAAGCCATTAGCTTTGGGTGGAAGAGCCTGACCAGGAGGTCCATGGAGCTATGAAAACCTAAACATCTCTCAAGTCCCACCAGATCCTGGGCAGCAGCAACATCAATACAAACCATGAGGTATTCTGCACACTAAATATAGGGATTTTATTTCTAACACTTCCATCAGAGAACAAGACTGTTCTAGTTTACATATGCAAATATGTGGATTCCTCACTCCTGCATATGTAATAAATGTTTTAAAAACATGATTATAAACCGGAATGAACCAGTATCCCACAGCTTGCTGCCCACTGCAGCTGAATTTTTTAAAAGCTTATAATCATATTTTTAAAACATGTATTACATATACAGGAGGGAGAAATCCACGTATTTGCATATGTAAACTAGAACAGTCTTGTTCTCTGATGGAAGTGTTAGAAATAAAACTCCTATATTTGGAGTGCAAAATATATCTTAAAATGTGGGTGTTTTTCTCTCAAACCAAGTGGAAGAAATATCTTTGTCGTGTAGACAGACTGACAACACACTGCAAGTGATAAGTCTTATCTGTCATGAAACTCTCTTGAGAACCGACAAGGTGAACTATGAATGTCACCACAAAACTAAGCAAACATTTGTCCTATCTCACTCAAGAGGCAAAAACAATAAAATAAGAGAGCATGGAAATAAACAAGTAATCTTTTGTTGCCCAAAATGGTGCTTAAGGGTGTCGATGTAAGTTCCATTCAAGATGCATTGCACTTTTTCTACCGGTGACATTTTCAAAGAAAACAAAATTCTACAATGAGAAATTATTTCTGCATCTGTGTCAGGGAGAACCACCAGGACAGAGCAGTATACTGTAATTTAGACTGCCCACTGAGAACAGACCAGCTTGTAGCTCTGTTCAGTTTCTTGCTAAGTTGTAGCTTAGGTTTCTGTGGTGCTGATGACTGGAGGAAAGATTCAGAAACAACAATATAGGACATTCTGGATTGGGATTCTAGTCCTACTGTCTGGATTTAAGTGGTTTGTTCATCATGGTAGTATCGTCGTCATCGTCTTAGAATTGCAGAGCTGGAAGGAGCCCTGTGGATCACTGAGCTCAGCCCCTGCCAACGAGGCACAGCGGGGAATTGAACTCCCAACCTCCAGTTGTGCAGCCAGATGTTAAACCATTGAGCTATTTAACAGTTCAATGCTTGTCCCAGAAAAGTGAAAAGAGACCTAGTGGGAC